TAGGTAAGACAATTAAATCTAAAACATGATTCAGAATACAAACCAGTGGTTCAGTCCTAGTCCCATTGAAGTCAATATCAACATTCACATTGACTTCAGTGGGGCTAGGATTTCACCCCAGGAGTAGTTCTGTTGAGTAAAGGTATCATTTTTACTCAGCCACACTTCAAGGGAGAATTGTATATTAAAAAAATCAACGGTTTCAGGCCAAACTCAATCTACCACTTTCCGGGTAGCCAATATAAAGTACACAGGTTGCGCCTAATATGATCACAGCATCTTAAATCCGTGAGCAAATGTGGTGCTGAATTCTGAACAAGTTGCAAGCTATAGAGAAGCCCTCCTAAGCAGCGGTAATAAAACACCAGTCATGGGAGCGTGTGTTCCTGTTACAAAATAAATGAGTGCGTAGCAGTAGCCTATGCAAATTACACAACAGAAAAAACACATTAGACCCTCATGCAAACAACACATGGTTTACCATGGAAATGATACAGTCACTCCAGGATTCTTAACCTAGCTCACTAAAGGAAGAGAGAACTTCCTCATAACATCAGCTTGTGTCCAGAAGCAAGACTTCTATTTACCCCATACTGGGGACAAGGCAGCTGTGATACATCCAGCTGGTAGTGTCATTCCGTGACGGAGATGTGCAGAATGTATGGGGTCCATGGGGCATGAGAGACATGTATTTGTTTAGATCGCAAGCTGTTTGGGGCAGGGACTCTCTTTTTATTGTGTGTTCGTATTGCACCTAGCACAATGGCGTGCTGGTCCATTACTAGGATTCTGTATGGTACCAATAATAATAATAATTAATAATGAGGCAGCTGTGTATCACCAGCATACTGGTGATATTCTCCCCATGTTGAGAAACTATGTCCCTGGAAGGTCTCTCACTGAATGTAGTATTAACAATCATGCATGTTAGCTAATGAAACATTTAATGATTTATATTTTATAGTACCTCATGCAACTCTTTGCATTGAGATTCAGGGTTAACTTCCTCTTAGGTCATTGTATGGGCAAACTATCTGTGGGGATACAGGTGCATGCTCTCTGCATGAATATATAGCCCAGTGTTCAGTGTTACAAATACATTCTCTTAAGAGCCACATAGTTTTTTTTTTTTTATTGATACACTGGAATTGTAAAAGATTGTGGATCAAGGCTATTAATATAGAAAGGGAAAAATACCAAGGGAAGCAATGAGCTAAAAAGAATATAATTTTTTTATCAAACGCATGGCTCTGAGCAGTAGGAGGAAACTTTAATAAAAATGCTGCATCATCCTAGATTAATTTCAGACTAGGAATAAGATATATTTTTTAACAGGGCACATAGATTAACCATTGGAACAATTTAACTAGAGGTGTAGTGGATTCTTGATCACTTCTTATCTTTAAATCAAGACTGCTTGTCTTTTAAAAAGGTATATTATGGCTCAAACAGAAGTTATGGTCTTGATACAGAAATTGTTGGGTGAGGTTCTTTAGCCTGTGTATGCAGGTCAGATTAGATACATGATCATAAAGGTCCCCTCTGGCCTTAAAATCTGTGAATCTATTAAAATTGATGGATAATATAATCAGACAAACTAATATGATTGTAATTGTATTTTATCTTTTCCTCTCTCTTTGCAGGTGCTTAGGGTAGTTCGACTTATAAAGATTTCTCCTGCTTTGGAGGATTTTGTGTATAAGATATTTGGACCTGGAAAAAAACTTGGGAGCTTGGTTGTATTCACTGCCAGCCTTTTAATTGTAATGTCAGCAATTAGTTTACAGATGTTCTGCTTTGTGGAAGAACTGGACAGATTTACAACTTTTCCAAGGGTAAGTATAAGAAGGATTGACTACTTCACTAGTTATCTTATTACAGGTCTATCTTTCTGTCTAATCTAGTTTTCATCATGATGAAAGCTTATTACCTTATAGAAGATCAAATAACAGTATGGTCTTTGCTGTGTGGTTCTGTTTTCCTGCAGACCCACAATAGTAAAGAGAAGTTTGAGTTGGGCTGTTTTGTTTGTTTGTCTATTGCTGAAGGAAGTCTAGGGTGTACAGATGTAGATATAATGGCACAGCAAAAAGTATGGGTCTAACAATGGTCAAGGATACAATGGAGAGAGCATGCATGTGTGGAATAGTGTATATGTGTGGAATGTTCCACTTGGACATGATATATAACTAGGGTTGGCAGAAATCAATTTTAATGACTTATAATAGTTACAAATATTAATTTTGATTTTTAAGCATTTTTAAAATTTTAATCTATTTAAAATTTTAACAGTTGCGGGAAATTATGGGGGAGGGGCAAGCAATAATAAATGGCGGTAGACGTTGAGGTTCAAAAAGTTAAAGCTTTATAACCACTAAAAAAACAAATTGTCAGCATCACATGTCAAAATATATACAGTATATATCCTTAATTCAAACTCTAGTAAGTTCTTCAGCAGCATTTTTCTTACTTTGCCTATCCGCAGAATTTGATTATCAATGGAAGTATTTTTGCCAGTTTATGTATGCAGTGAAATCGATGATTACTGATATTTACCAATAAATAGCTAATACTTCCAAGCTTATATGTACCTTTGGTATTATGAAAAATGGTTGCTCTTGATATGCACAAGAATGTGTATTTTAGGCAAGGTTGTAAAACCTGCCTGCATTGCCAAAGTATGCATCCACCTTTTGGGCATAAATAAATGGATACTGTGGGCATGACATGAAATCAGAATGAAACTCTGAAATTCAGTGGAAATTGTAGCTAATATAGTTAGTGAAACACACTGTTTTGAATGAAAATACTGCCATTTCTTTAATACTATATTAGACTGAGTGTACATGGATTGGTTCCATTGACACTTTATTGCTTTCAATCATCCTATATTGGTTTCATAGTATATCTGTTTTAGTGAAAGTGCATTGGTTGGAACAATTAAATAGGAATGAATAAGGCAGCCTCAAGAGTCACGCATTTAACAAACAAAATAGTTAAGCAACAATTTCTAATGATCTCCTTTATTACATGTCTGGGATGTTAGCCACCAAAAGTGAGACAAAAAATAGATATGCTAAGGGAAGAAATGTTACGCTACAATTCCAATTCTAGAAAGCCTGGCTAGAAAAAGAGTTAGTAGGGTCATTGCAAATGTAATTAGGTTTCATTTTCAAACACTGGAGAAGGAAGAGAAAACAGAACGCTATGAGGCAAGTGTATAAAAAAAATAATCAGGCTTCTGCCTAATTGCAGTGATAATGCCACGAGTTATACTGTACTGTCAACTCCAATGTATAGTTTTAGGAGAACCTTTGATAGTAAATTGAAAGTCTGAAACGTCTGTGCACTTGATTTCTAGCATGTGTTTAAGTTTTGAACTACGAAAATGTCAGTGAAAACCCCTAAGAGAATTATAGTTACATAATCAAGGTAAGAGATCCTCACAGCAACTTGCAGATTTTAACTGACGTATTGATCTGTGAAAGCTCAAGTTTAAACAAACATTGTCATGCTCTACCATGCTATTAGTAAACTTTTACATTAATGTGGACATTTTTACCCACATTTATTTTATTAACATATTCATTTTTGGCAAAGGTATGTAGGTACTGAAATATACTGTCCAAAGGAAAAGAGGATATTCCCGTTAATGGATTATTGAGATGCTAAAAGACAGAACAATACGAATTTAATATTTTTCTGCTTGAATTCTCAATTGAATATAAGATGGATTACCAATAGCAGTGTATCAGTGGAAGTCAAATTAAAATGTTTTAAAATACATCTCATATGATAGTTTGACTTAATAGTCTTCAGTTATTCTTTTTCTGAATATTATTCTTTTACTGTATACAAATTCACTAAAGCATAAGGGTTTGAGAAATATAATCGGTAATGTGTGTTTTCCTTTTGTAGTTCTACTGCTTTGGGACCTCTGATGTAATGAATGAAAATTTACTGTTAAGAAAATTGAATTTGGGGTGAAATTTGACCTGTCAATGTCTCTTTAAAGTGTCTCCCTCTGACAAAGGTTGGGGGACTACCGTTAACATAGTAATCTCATTGATTTCAGTAAGATTCTTCAACTGAATGACTACAGAACCAGTCTTGCGGCAAACATACATACAAGTAAACATAAAATTATAAAATTATTCTGTTTAAAGGTTCTGGAATGTATTATTTTCAAATCGTGCTTGCAAAAATAGCTTTACTATCAGAGAGGGCAAGCATGACGTTGGGTTCATATATGCAGAGTGTGTTATTATAGATTTATAGGGGCTTGCCCTGATGCAAGAATTAATCTGAAATGGCAGGCACAATTGACATGGTGGGTTTTGCAGTTCCTGAAATGCTGAGGACTGTTACACTTACAAAAAGGATGACAATGTAGGGTAAATTTTGAACCTTAACACTAAAGTCCCTTTGACACTGAAACAGTAGACTAAAAATAAAATCCGCCCTTAACCATAAATATCCTACAATGAAGCACAGTATGGGTTTTGGAAACAATAGGCCTCCTTCTTTCACTAATGCCTATAAATTGCATGTTTTCACATGGTTGTATGAACAGTCAATAAGCACAAGCTCAGTGTTGCTCTGGTTACAAATTCCAGTGTTCTTTTGATCGGTGCTGCTTCTCAGATGGCCTAACTTCATCTTTATGTCTATACTAAGAGCACAAAATACAGATGTTTACTTTACTGCTATTAACAGATCCATCTTCTTTGTATTTTTAGGAACCATCTCCCCAAATGAATAAAATAGCAAAGTATTCTACAGTGTCTTGTATAGCATTATTGAGCTATATTCTGCTAGAGAGAGTGAGAGAGAGAGAGAGCTATATTCTTGGTTTACACACTATACAGTGATCAAAATATTCCATTTGAGCAATATTTTTTAAGTCTAAATTAAGTGAAAGGCCAGACACTACACTGAAAAACAAACCACTGCTGGGAAGTGTTGTTACTGTATCCAAATAGATACTCTGTCACAATTACCTTGATTTGCTTTAAGGGAACGACAAATTAAGACATGAAGAAAGAAAAAACACCATTTCTGTCTTCTCAGCCTGTATGAGCCCTAGAGAGAAAAAAAGGAGCAGCTGAACTATAGGTACAGAGAGCGAGAGATGTTGAAAGATATAAATAAGTTAGGTACCAAACTTCCATTTGTGCCTTTGAACAGCTCTGCTAAGACTGCTTAGAAATTTCAAGGTGAACTACACAGAAAATAGAAGGGATCATTGCAGTTTCATGGTTACCTACACCTCTGAAAACAGATTGCATTTCTCTGAATCTTGGGGACAAACATTAGCTGCTCCAGTGTGAGTGAAAAGAGGATCAGAATTTAAAAATGGGTCCAAAATAACATAGAAACCCATCGTCAAATCCTGTCCCCATTGAAGTCAATGGCAAAACATCCATTGACTTTAGTATGATCAGGATTTCACTCCTGGGGCTGAGGCTGAAAGAGGCTCAGCTAGAGACACTTTAGTTCCACACAATCATAAAAAAACTTTTTTGTTAGTTCTTAAATGATGAATTGTTTACTCTTTAGAGCCATTACTATGTAATACCTATTGAGGTGTTTTTACAGGCTGACCTTTCTTATCATGGTATGTTACTGAATTCTTCTTGGGTATGTAGCAGGGTGGAAGAGGGGAGTGGTAGGGGAGAGAGAGCAAGCATTTATACAACAGTGGTCCTAAATCCTCATTTTAGATTTTAGTGGGACTGCTCATGAGGAAGGCCAGTAGGATTTGGCCCATGATACTTTGCATACAAGCATACTTATTGAACAAGTGCTCTGTAAGTGAACCTTAGATTTTGTAAAACTACACATTTCCCCCCTTTATCTATAGTCATTTGTGGGGCATTATCTGTTTAATGGATGGACAAAAAAATCAGAATTGTCACTTTGACTCACACATTTCATATAACATGCCCTATTTGCAGATCTTCCACTTCATACAAATGCAGTTTGACGACCATCATCAAAACAGCTAATTAAGTAATGGGGCATAAAGACTCATAGAAACTGACAGTCTTTTCCATAACATGAATTAATTCCGAAGTCCTCCATTTGCATAAATCTCTAAGTCTCATTTTCACAGCTGTTAGTTCTGTCAGCTAGATAGTTGCATTTCATTTTAACATAAATGGTTAGAAATGTACCTTTCAACTAAAAATATCTTTTTCTGAAAGGAAGATTGCTGGGTACAAAACACAAAATCATTATTCACTGCCATATTATTTTCTTTAAGCTAATGTTTTTCTAATATAGGGAACTTTAATAATATGAGGAAAGATTTAAATTTATTTAAAGGATATCATTAGAACTAACCACATTATATATTACAATTTTAAATGGAAGGCTAAGTTTTCATCACATTGAAAGGGTACTTTTCAACTTAAAAAATAAATTTATGTAGATTTTACAGAGAAAACGTGCAGTAATATATTAAAGATATCTATACACCTTGAAGCAAATAATTAAAATAGAAGTTTCCCATTAAAAAAGAGATTAAATAATAATAAGTAATTCAGATATAATTAATAAAGGCTAAACTGGTTCAACAATCATTAGTCACACACACAGAGGTTGTGAGCCAGAAGTAAATGAGAATAACTTTAATGTAGTATCCCTCACTTTTTGCTTCAGTGGGGTGGGGTGGCCATATCAGATTAGTAGGATATAGCCACCTCTGTGTCCCAGGCCAGCTTTAGGGAAAATGGCACCCTGGGAGAACTTGTATTTTGGTGCCCTTTCTTTGGTTTTAAGTACAGATACACAGTACGATCACACACGTTGAGTTTACTGGGGAAGCTTTTAAGTTACAGTAGGGACTGTGTGCATCTACAGCAGAGACTGCTGCAAATGGCACAGGCAGCCCGTACGCTCAGCACTGGCTCAGTGTAGCCCCTGAGCCTCTGGCACCAGCAGCGAGAATGCCAGACTGGCAACCGTATGAAGCACTAGGGGGATGGCAGCGCTGCCAGGCACAAACTGAAACACAGCACAGCACACACCCGGCACTGCGTGTATTTCCCTGATCCTACCTAGGGATCCCCACTGACTCTGCTCCTCAACATCTTCCAATTTCAGATGCCGCTATGTACCCCTAGGAGCGCTCGCCACTAACCTGGGCACACCCTGTTCTCCCCTGCTCCAAGGCCATTTGGGGCTGCTGAACAGCTACATTGGCAGGTGGGCTGCACCAGGCAGCCCAGGGTGAGTGCAGGGAGTGAGATGCCAGGCAGAAGCAGCTCTCCTTCTGGTGCTCTCCTCGCATCCTTCCCAGCACAAACCAGCACATGGCACAGCCCTGGCCCCAGCCCACCCTGCAGGGCACTCCCCCGGGCCCACTGGGGCTCCCACAGCTCACCCCCAGAGCAGACCTTCCCAACCTGCAAATTGCAGCAACACCCCCCACATCTTCAGCTTCTCCCCCAGCTGGAAGCCAACCCAACCCACCTGCCCCCTCTGCCAATCTGGGACGCTGCTCGGGCCAACAAGCCCTACAAATTGAGAGCGGAGCCTGGCCAGTGGGCGCAAGCCTCTGACCCTGACTGGGCACTGGCACCCTCTTAACCATGGTGCCCCCTGACCAGGGCGGCACCCTGGACAGTTGCCCATATCACCCACCCATAAGTCTGGCCCTGCTGCATCCTGAGAAGATCAGGGGGCAGTGGTAGAGATACTTAACCCTCCCAGTTCCAAATAGCGGTGGGCAGGGGGAAGGTGACACTGGGCAGAGGTTTGGCCATTGTCTTCCTTCCCCCTCTTATACCACTGGTTATCTCAGAGGAGGCTGAACAGCTTGACTAGTTCACCTACCCACTCCCTGTCAATAAAAGGCCCCTCCTGGGTGGAGGTTGCCAGCTTGATACTGCTGCTGATAACTGGGACTATGTATTTGTCCAAAGTGTGAGCTCAGCTGTAAAAAGTAAGTGAAAGCTCATAAAGTGTCATAATAAATATTGACGCAAAAAGTTGCAAAAGAGAAACAAACTGAATTAGTACAAACAAAAAGGCCTCCTGATATAATTCAATGACTGTGTTAAGGTTATTCCTGATAAACAGAACAGTAGGGGATCAGAAATCAGTAAACCAAAATTAGCATGTTGGAAATTAGGCCTAATTGGTGGACAAAATAATGAGGGAGGGGGTTGTTCCATCCATCACTCCCTTCTGCAGTCCCCACAAAAAGCCACCATCATGGCAGCAACCCACAGCATCTCTCAGATACTGGACCTGCGTCCTAATCCTGAGAGATGTCCTACCAGACCAGGCAAGAGAGAGGGAACCCATGTCATCACCACCTCCAATGGCTCCAGCTAAATCCGAACCACTATCTGAGAAGTGAGACTTTGTCTCCCTCCCGCTACCCCAACATGTCCTGTTTTCTTCCCAACCTTATTTTTAACTCTTCTCTCTCTCTCTCTCTCTCTCTCTCTCTCTCTCTTTTTTTTTCTTTCTGTCTAATAAAGGTCTGGCTTAGCTGGCCAAGACTGCATACTCTCTATCACTACAGTCAGCCTATGACCAGAGAGGCAGCTAAATGAAATGCCCTAAACAGCCCAGTGCTGGTGCAAGTTTGCCACGTCTCAGACTGGCTGATAAAACCATGTCCTGTGCCTATGTTTTTTCAACAGCGAGCTTGCGAGTGAGAGTTAAAGCCAGAGACAGAAGCTGCATTTTCTATCTTTACTATTCTTTTCTGTTCTGTCTGGTGTATGCTTATATTGTTTTGTCTTTTAGGAAATAAAATCAGACTTTAACAACAGCAACAATGACAGCTGCAGCCCATCTCAACTAACTTCTTCATTTCCCAAAAAGGACAGTTATTACCATCTTAAAAGACTGTCAGACAAGTGGGTTTTTCCTTCTAAAAACTCTGTCCAGCTAAAGGAAAGGGAACAAGGGATATTATTAAAATTAAAGCCCTATTTAATACTTTACCTATTTTTCCTTGTATTCTGTTCAAAGGTTAAAATGATTTTTAATGGTATGTTTGCCATGTTACTAAGCAGGCTGAGGTCTCTGTATAGCAAACCCTGAACCTTGTTTAAACTGTTAAATGTTGGTCAGCGACTGGGTTATGTTAAAACCTTTGACTCTTTGGGCCCATATATTCCATCTAAATTAATGCGACATGCATTCCTGGTTGCACCTTCATTCCAGTGGCTAAGATTCTGACAGATGGACTGGATCCTTTAATTGGTTTACAGACTCTTGTTTGTGGACAGCTATCCTCCCTGTTTCCTGGTTTCTGGATATAAGTTAGCCATCTTCCCACAAATTAAGCCCTGTTGGTTATGTTTATTGATAACGTTGCAACCTGCCACTTAAATGCATCCATTGTTGGTGGGGTCTTTCTCATCCGAAAACTCTGATTTATCCCAGGTGCTCCTCTGCTTTGCTTCTCATAGGAAGTTGTTACTTTCAGTTTGAACCAGCCCTGAAGGCTTGCTTGGTGTGTGATTCAACTCTGAAAAGTACTGTGTAAAATTGGCACCTATACTTAACAGATAGGTTTAATAGTTTTATTCAGAGTTGTATGTGCTTACTCCAGTGACACAACTATGTGTTTACTACTTCTTACTCCAGTTAGCACTGCAAAACTATAACAGAAATGAGAAATTTAGCTGGATTTCAGTCAGCTGAATCTGCACAAGCTCCCTGAGGGCAGTAGGAACGTAGAGGTGTCTGAGGACATAATCTGAAGACATTTGAGCTGTGAAACCTTTATTACTAGTCATGAGGTACAGAGAAGAAAAATCTCAGCCTGACTCTCAGAACCCATGTTGAGTTGGCAGAGCTGTCAGTTCGAGAAATTACTTTACTTAAAAAACTCAGCAGTGTTGATATGGAAGTCACTGAGTGTCAAACATGGAACACCACAGCACCACAATTACCATTTTTGCCATTAGGTTTGAGCATAGCACTGTGTTTTAACTTGCTGCTCCTTCAAGGACATAAAAATCCCTCAATATTTCAACTTGCATTTATGAAACACCATTCTGCAGGAACATGGGTTGATTACATTCGTGTAAAGGGCTTTTCTGGTGGTGGTTCTC